GAATGCATTAATACTTTGTGATTTTAGACAATGTCATTGACAAAAAATAAGAATGTTATGTCCTGTTGCCTCTCATGGTTGTTTCCTGACATTGAGATTTGGAAAAATAATACACACCTATTGTCCTGCAGTCCAGTCTGTTAACAATAGAAACAATGTCCAACCTTTTTATGTTCCTTTCCCTTTGAACCAATGCTTTGCTTATTAAAAAAAAAGGTTTTTCCATTTTCCCCCTTGGAGACTCTTTAGGGATTTTTTAAAGCTCACTAGGAAGACGTTAACTTCTACTGACCAAACTGAAGACATCAAAGTGGCCCTCTTTCCATAGCACACTTAATAACTGGGTTAGTGGTATGTGTCTGCAGTAGAATTAGTTTGTTATGGGAACATCAAAAAGGGTCAGGTGACCTGACAAACTATATATAAAAGTTCTTCATAGAATTAAGCAAATTCTACTCCTTTAGCCATGCCATGGGAACATCAAAACTCAGTCAATCTAATCCTGCAAGAAAAAGAGTTGGAACCAGACAAGAACTTAAAAAACAACCCCTCATTATGGAACTCACTAAGAAGGCCTAGTAGTACAAAACCACTTCCCAATCCCTGATTAATAGCACCAATTCAGCCTAGTGCTGACTACTTAACCAACGGGGACAGGATTAGTGATGCAATACAGCATTGCCAGTACTTCCTAATACAAAAAGTCAGTATAGTTGGAGCAGGAATGTCTTGGATTAAGTGATCTCTGTCTCTGTTTCTGTGTCTCTCTCCCGTCCCCACCCCCTCTGTGTTCATGTTAGTTATGACTCCTGATGACTGTTTGGACAAGGTCTGAGAGTCTAGCTCAAAGTTGCCCAGCTGGCTTCATGTTGAAACCAGGACTAGGATACAGGGTCTTCCACTCTAGCCTAGTGGGCTAACCATCATATCAGACTGGCTATATTATATAAGTGAATAGGAATCACATTTTTTAACAAAGGAAAAATGTTTGATTCATTGAATGCAATTCTGTGCTGGCAGAACCATCAATAAGGGCATTTGATGGGGTTAGTGGCTGATTGGGATAAGTGGGTTTTGGGAACAGCGCCAATGTTCTATCAACTCTCCCTCGGCATATTTCCTACCTCCAGAAAATCAAATTTGCCCCTTTCAAATATGGATGTTCTTTCACTGGGAACCTCAACCAAGTGTGAATGAGGGAGACAGAAACAATTTTTCCCCATGGGAGGAATTCTTTCTTATGCTCTTGCACAGTATTCAGTTTTAGCAATTGAAATCGATCTAAAACTAGACAACAGCATCTGCATGACAGCATCAAACTTCACATTTTTCCTTCCTCTGGGATTTATCCTCTTTCTTGACATTCTTGGAGTAGCTATATCCTGACATTTGTATTTGGTCTGTTTACATTTTCTTTTTTCTTCACTCTTTCCCTCAGTATGGGCCCAAAGGCCTTCTGTAATGGAGGCTTAAGCCCAGGGCCCCCATGATCTACAGCCACTCTGAAAGGCATCTCCACATCATACATCAACTTGCTAGCATGACAGCAACCCCCTTGAAAGCATTTGCCCAGGTTTACTACCAGACCATGTGGTTACAAAGCTCTCATACCCAAAGACTGTTCCTTACTTTTTTCAGTTGATCTTTCCTCACAACCATCCCCACAGAGTAATAATAATAATAATAGTAAAGTTGGAAGGGACCTTGGAGGTCATCTAGTCCAACCCCCTGCTCAGGCAGGAAACCCTATACCATTTCGGACAAATGGCTGTCCAGTCTCTTCTTAAAAACCTCCAGTGTTGGAGCATTCACCGCTTCTGGAGGCAGGTTGTTCCACTGGTTAATTGTTCTAACTGTCAGGAAGCTTCTCCTTAGTTCTAGGTTGCTTCTCTCCTTGCTTAGTTTCCACCCGTTACTTCTTGTCCTGCCTTCAGGCGCCTTGGAAAATAGCTTGATACCCTCTTCTTTGTGGTAGCCCCTGAGATATTGGAATACTGCTATCATGTCCTCCCTCGTCCTTCTCTTCATTAAACTAGACATACCCAATTCCAGCAACCGTTCCTTATATGCTTTAGCCTCCAGTCCCCTAATCAACTTTGTTGCTCTTCTCTGTACTCTTTCTAGAGTCTCAACATCTTTTTTACATCATGGTGACCAAAACTGGATGCAGTATTCCAAGTGTGGCCTTACCACACTATAAGTAACTATAAGTAAGGTTACTATAAGTAAGGTTACACTATAAGTAAGGTTACACTATAAGTAAGGTTACTATAAGTAACCTTATAGAAGTTGTGGGGGGATTTGTTGTTTGTTTTTGGCAAATCTGTAGCTAACTATAGTAAAATATGTGGACCTTGGAGGAAAAGTTAAGTTATTTTTGTTAGTATATGATTCATTTGGAGTTTGGGCTGCTATTAACATTCTTTGCTTTGGGCACCAGGTGAAGGGCTTGGATTTTTGACTTCTGTATTGAAAGTTAACAGCCATTAGACTGGCTGTGTTCCTGATGAACATCCGGTTTTATTTAATCCTTATATTACAGTGATTGCTGTTATAATCTTTGAAAGAATTATGTACTTTGTTACATTTATTGTTTCATGTTAGGCATTTTGTAGCTATCAACACATTTCGAATCCATTTATGAGTTGACAGGTTATAGATAGGTTAATAGATTAAACAAACAATTATGTATTTTTTTAAAGAGACTCCAGTAAATTAGGCAGAAACTTTGAATCCCAGAGAGTAATAACTAATGGCAAAATCCTTGTACTTTGAAGGACTGATTTTGGAAGTGGCTAGTAAATTAGTAGAAAATCCAACCTCCATCCCATGTATATATTGGTTATTGGCTTTATTAATGTTTTAATATTGATGCCCAATGATTTAATCTTTTGATGCTTTGTTTTACATTATTAAGAAAACACTGTAATCCACCCAGAATTGCTTGATAGCAAGATAAGTAACATATACATTTAATTAATAAATAAACAGTAATATACATAATAATAACTGGCACAATTATATATAGTATATCTCAGAAATCTCCAGTAGAAGAACTATAGCATACAAGCCATCAAAATCACTGCAAAGCATTTTAAGTAAAACCACAGATCATGAACCAAAGATAGAGCAGGAGTTATTTACAAAATGAAATGCATGAATTGTGAACATCAAATAACAGAACATATTCAGGAGTATGATGAGCAGTTAGAAGATATGACAGAACCTCATTAATTTCACTGTGCACAGACAAGTTCAACTATAAATTTGCCTCAGAAGTCACTGAAACTCTAATTTGGGCCAAGTACAAGAATGCATAAAAAATCCTAATAGACTGGCATTCTAATAAATTATCAACCAACAAACATATAAACCTAGACCCAACCACTGACTATTTCAATAAAATAGCCAAAGGTCAATTTGATAAGAGGTTAAAAACAGCATCAAATCACCACATCCCTTATCATACAATTATTAGCCAACACTCAGATAAAGAAAAGGAGGCAACCCATCAGTGAAGCAAAAACTAGACAATGAAGTATTAATTACATAGAAAACAAAAACACCTAACAGTAGAACCCACCCAATCAAATATAAGTCCAGTAGGACAAGTAAATATATATTTCACACCTAACCAGAAGACCTCAGTTCTCCAAGATCATAGTACTGAATATGTTACCAAGATAGGCAGTGAAACATCTGCAAAAATAAAAACAGTCAGAACTCTTACAATTTCATTCAAATCCCAAACTAAATATATTCTCCACAATGGTATCTGAACTTTTGTGTTATATTTAAAAAGGCAATGATACACTTGGTTGAGCTCAGCTCCTAATGACTTCATCCATGTACTTTTCTTGGGTCACATTTTAGAACAGGGGTGTCAAACTCGTAACGACATGTGATGTGTCACAACATATCACAACTTTTTTTCCATTGCCGGCAATGGGGTGGGTGCGGTTTGGCCATGACGCATCCGGCCCATAAGTCGGCAGTTTAACACCCTTGTTTTAGAAGTTGTTTGCCATTATCTTCTTCCAAGAAGTTTTTTGTAACTTCCCAGTTTAATTAAGAACTCTTAAAATTCTTAATTAAAGAATTAAATTTAATTCTTAAAATCCAAGTATCAAGCAAGTAGTATACAGACTAAGTTTCTATAATACAGTAACAACATGCTAGTGAATTACAATTTAGCCTGATGCAGTATGTAAATTGGTCACTATAACTTATTGCTCAGTATCAATGACCAAGTTGATCTTATGTAGAATTAATTCCACTGCTGATCATCATTTCCTGTTTTTTTAATTGATTATGGGTAGTTGTTCCAGGTTTGTATATTGTTTTAACTTGTATTTATTGGATTGTTTTTAACTTGTTGTGAGCTACCCAGAGTTGCTTAGACGACATGGACCACCATACAAGTAGAATAACAGAACTCTAGTATTTATGTTCCTCAAAGTCTGCCTCTATGGAAATTTCCCTTCATCATGTCCCCACAACTATCCTACAACCAAACTTGATTGAGATAGAATAATTAATCTGGGGACATCCAGTGAGTCCCTTGGCTAGGACTCTCAGATTTGGTCTGTAAACTCCAGACAGTACTAATGACAAGACAGCAAAGAGAACTTTTTGCTGCCATTTAGTAACATCAGATCTTGGGAGCCCTGTTCTGATAGCCTTACTATGGATAAGGGTGAATGTGTACTCTCAGTCTTTCTAGTCTTAGGCTGCCACTCTGTCCCCCCCTCCCCCAGCACAAAGTGACAAAACAGGTTTAATTAAATAAACTTAATCACAAGTGAGAATATTATGAGTTGTGAACTTAGTCAACTGTCATTTATTCAAGAACTGATGGATCAATGAACCATTCCTTGCTATGATATGGGGCCGGTCACTAAATTCAAGAATTTTAGGTATTGAAGTATAGCCTTTGTGTTCCTGAATTATGAAAAAAACTCTTTTATTGTTGATTGTTTTATGATTTTTTTTTCTTGCAGGTGATTACAAGCACTGATAATCATATAAAGCAAATATAGAGATAGTGAAATGGCAGAATAAAGAATATGTCCGCTGAGCTAGCAGACTGCAGAACATGGGGAGTCTTCCAGAAGAGGTGATGGTCAATAACACTCAGAACTGCAGCATTGATCATAGCATACATCAGATGTTATCACCCGTGATATATATACTTGTCTTTGTAGTAGGACTCCCAGCCAATTGTCTCTCATTGTACTATGCCTACTTGCAAGTTAAGGTCAAGAATGAACTAGGAATATACCTTTGCAATCTAACCATAGCAGATCTACTTTACATTTTCTCTCTACCTTTTTGGCTGCAGTATGTTTTGCAGCATGACAACTGGACTTACAATGAACTCTTATGCAAAATTTGTGGCATCCTCCTTTATGAAAACATTTATATCAGTGTGGGTTTTCTCTGCTGTATCTCCATTGACCGTTACCTTGCCGTGGTGCATCCTTTTCGTTTCCAACAGTGTCGTACAATGAAGGCTGCTGTGGTGGTGAGCACTGTCATCTGGACTAAAGAAATTGTGACTTGTTGGCTGGTTTTTAGACATGGAGAAGTGAGTAAAGACTCGGAGAGCCATGTGGTGTGCTTTGAGCATTATCCCATAAAATACTGGGAACATAACATAAACTTTTACCGTTTTACAGCTGGTTTCCTATTTCCATTTTGCCTCCTTTTTTTTTCCTACTATGGAATTCTACGTGTTGTCCGGAAGAGTCACGGTACTCAGAAAAAGAGGAAAATTCAAATTAAACGCCTCGTTTCAAGCACAATCTTAATTTTCTTAATTTGCTTTGGACCATATCATGTTCTTTTGTTAATACGCAGCCTATTTGAGAACAGCTGTGAATTTGCTGTCAGAATCTTTAACATCTATCATATTTCTCTTTTGTTGACTACTTTTAATTGTGTTGCAGATCCCATACTATATTGCTTTTCAAGTGAAAATACCTACCAGGATTTTGCCAAAATAGGAGGATCTTGTTTAAAATGCCTAAGATGTATTCCAACAGAAAACAATGAATCCTATCCATTAAATACTCCAGAAACCATGAAAAAAGACAGTGAACAAACTGATCTGAACACAGGATGTATTAAATGAAGTCTATGTTATTCTTAAAATAGAAGAAATATGAACTGAGTCTTTCTCACCCAAATAGTGATATAATCTCTCCATGTGTGGATTTGCTCACTTCACTTTTTTACATCTAAGTGTAGATATGAGAATCATTACAGCCTGTAAAATGGTTCATAATTTAAAAATACAGTTAAATCTGCTATACCAGCATTCTTTCCAGGTGGGGAATTCCTTGCTTCCTTTAAAAAAATCAGCTTCATTCAATTAAGAACTTCACCCCAATGTGTTAGTTATGCAAACTATATTAACTTTGAAGTTTATAAGCTATTCAGATGCATACTCTTTGGATAAAAATAATATTCTAGATTTAAATACTGTATTCTTGGAAAGTAGATGTCAAAACATATTTTTATAATCACGTGTTAAGTCTAGCAACTAGAGTGTGTCATAAGGTCTGAAATTATTTAAATCCCTTCTACTATATGAGGTAAACATTTACATGGTTCACACATTGTGCTAAGCAACTGGTATGTTTTCAAAAACTAGCCATACCAATTTTTATTCCAGCATCTTGTGAAAACCTAGCTTATGCGGTTGGTTTATAGTTAGGAGTGTCATGCAAATCACACAACTAGGTTAATTTTTAATAATCCACAACTGAGTCAATTATTAGTAGCCTAATATAAACATAATACAGTGTATTTGATTTCAGCTCAGTATATTGTATGAATATACATACAATACTGTGGTTTATTCCTGACCAATACTGGAACTCAGTCAACTGAAGCTTATTTAAAAACTACCTTAAACAAACAATGCCGTAGCAAGATATGTGGAAAAATAATTAAATGCCCGTCATTAGAGGCATTTAAGAAAAATAAAGAAAAATAATATTTATTTACAATTAGTGTTAGTTCTTCATTATACTATTAATGCAAAATAAGCAGCAAAACTTAAGTTTTGTAACATTTGTACATATCCTTTGAATTACATGTAAGGAATTAATTTGATAACTGCCAAACCAGCTATAGCAGTAATCTTATGTTTGTAAATGTTTGAACTAAAATGTTATAGTTGTTAATTCAAACACTTCAGTCATGTTTAGATCAGAATTATTGTTGATTTCTCAAACAAAAGCAATGAATATTAGGAATTTTAGAGAGAATAGTAAACAAAATGGGAGGTGTAATGCTTCGATGTCAATCTATGTTAAATCAAACTTGTTAAATCATGTAGTCCAAAATAAATGCAAATAGAACACAGAAGAAAAACTGAAGCTGAAACAAATTGCATTGCTGAGATGTATTCTGCTCCAAGGAAGACTTAGTTTGTTTAGGTCAACACTTAGTTTATTAGTAGTTTTATGCAACAAAATTCTATACTAAGCCAAACAGACATGCATTTATTTGTTGGTTATATTTTGCTTTACATGGAATCTTTATACTATAGTTCTTTCTCCAATTTATTCTGCTCCTAATGTGTTTCTTAAGTCAGGGGGCAAAATTCTCTGAATACAATAGTACTGAGTCAGAATGAATATGCAAATGGTTTGGCATTTGTTATTGCAACAGAAATGGTGACGGTACTCTAAAGCAGACATAGCTGAAGATGATTAAAACTTTGATCTGACTGCAGTGTAACAATGATTAAAGTAAGAAGTCATAACCTAACCTGTGCGTCATATAGTTGTGGGAGGTCCATTCTAAGCATTCTTATAAAACATTAATTTTGAGAAGTTGGAAATTGCATCGGTTTGTAATTTAATCTAATCTCATTGATCTAATTGAGTTCACTGGAATATGCTCAGCTATAAGTTTACAGAATCACAACTAATTTTCTATTACTAAATTTGCATTCACAAATCAAAATAATTTCAACAGCTGTAATAGAAATGGTCAATGTCTAATTCCCAGCCTAGAATTTATGTGGACTTCTGCTAGCACATAATAAAAATGTATATAAAATATTTATTTATGGACTGATTTGGAGGCAATGAGGTGAGCTGTTAATGTATCTCCTTTCTTCTGGTCACTGCCACAGTTTTTACTATTTCTCTTCTAGCATTTCACCTCCCAAATCCCAAGATCTTTCTTTGCTCTCTGCTAACTTCTAAGATCAAGCTTGAATATGTTAGTGTCTGTCTAATTTATAATCCCTTGTTTAAAGCTGCAATTTCTGAGTTAAGAAACCCTGGTTCTACAATTTCGATATTTAACTGTATACTGTTATTTCTCTTGAGCTGCTTCTCTTTCTGTTGTTCTACCTCGTCCACTTCGCATAAGCACAACATCCTACCTCAACATAAAATGGGATAATTTTAGAACGGGATGTGATGGATAACAGTGGGGTACTTTATGAGAGAGAAAAGTCTTCTGAATGTCCAAGAATTCAATTATTTCATCAGTTTTAAAAAAAATCTTTGAGTCAATTTCAACTTCTAGTTTTTTGGACCCATACCATAAGCACTTAAAAAAATAACAAGGATTCACATGTTTTGATTTATGTGGCGATTGAAAAGGGCAGATAGGAACTAAGTTGAAGTGATGCAAATACAAAATAGAGCAAAAAGGACAAGTATAAAAAGTGGAAAGAGGGGCACATAACTAAGGCAGAATATCAGCAAATAGCCCAAGTCTGCAAAGATGGAGTGAGGAAAACTAAGGCTCAAAATGAACTAAGGCTAGGCTGCATTAACAGAGGGATAGAATCAAGATCACGTGAAGCGTTAATACCACTTTACAATACCTTGGTAAGACCACACTTGGAATACTGCATCCAGTCTTGGTCACCTTGATGTAAAAAAGATGTTGAAACTCTAGAAAAAGTACCGAGAAGAGCAACAAAGATGATCAGGGGACTGGAGGCTAAAGCATATAAGGAACGGTTGCTGGAATTGGGAATGTCTAGTCCAGGGTAGGCAACCTTGGCTCTTTTATGACTCGTGGACTTCAACTTCCAGAATTCCTGAGCCAGCCATGCTGAGGGGAAAGAGAGAGGTTTCCAAACTGAGCCATGGTGGATGCTTGCCCTGAGCAAAGAGTTGAACTGTCATGGTTCCAACAGATGAAACTCTTCAAAAGAACTTCGAGGCATTGTTTACCTTAAAGAATCCTTTATTCGAGAAACAAAGTATCGGCACTATATAGTTAAAGCCAAAATTTCCCTCCCCTGGGCACAAAGTAGCAAAGCACAATTCCCTCCTCCAATTAACTGTCATAAATCACATTCCCCAATTAGCTTGAAGCACGGGCTTTCTCCCCAGCCCACCAAATGTTTATCAACTCTGGGCACAATAACCTTGGAGTCCCATGGCTGAGTTATTATTGTTATGACTAACTGGACTCTCATCCACATCCCCCTTCCCAGCATCAATTAACTCTAAAAGCAAAAGAGAAAAGATGGCTACATTTCCATCTGTTGTCAAAGCAAGAAGTGGCTTTTCCATTCTTATTATTTTATGGGAGAGAAGAAAGTATTTCAAAACAGTGTCTGCAACTTTCCTTTGGAGGCATCCTTGGATTTTCGGAAATGAAATTCAGAGAAAAATAGAGTTGACTCGTTCTTGCAATCAAATTAAATGACTACTGCTTGAATTACAGTTTTAACATGGCATCTGGCAAATGCGGCACAGATGGATATTGTTTAAATCTAAGGAAATACATTCTCAATTAATTTATTGTTGATATATTTTAGTCAAATAACTGAAAAAAAGACATCATTCTGAAAAATCTATTCCGCAATGACATTATTCCAGTAATTTACTGTACGATCACAGGTTCTTCTACCTTACAATATTTGGAATAGTAAATTGTGGCAGGATATCTGATCAGGGAGTGTAATGGTATTCTGGACTGAATGTGTTTAATATACCATATTTTTAGAGAGGGAGTATTATTTGAAAGTTTCCTCCAGCAGCCTCTCTATTAAATTTGAATGAATGTTAAAGAACGGCAGAGCATCCACTTCCATTGCCAAACTTGCAGTTATCCCACTGCGAACGTGATGCCGCTGTAATATCTTCAGCATGTTTTCTTCCTAAATAGTAAAATAGACAGTACATTTTTTATTCCCTTTAAAATGTAGGTTTTTATTTTAATAGATGAAAGTGCTCAAAGTCAGGGATTTATTTTAATATTTATTGCTTAAGTAAATTATAAGAGTACCTTGTTAGGGAAGATGTTATTTCCTGTTTCCTTCAAGACACATTCACATTAACAATAAAATAGCAATAGCAATAGCACTTAGACTTATATACGGCCCCATAGTGCTTTACAGCACTTGTCACTCAAATGTTAAAATGCATTTTTTGCTATCTAATTATAATAATCTGGAAATGTAGGAACAGAATCCATTTGTATTAGACTGTTTTCAGTGTCTTTATTAGAATAATATTATACTAGAACTTCCAAGCTAATGTTTATAGTGTTGACATTTGGCACCATAATTTCAGTTTATAAACTAATCTATAATTACCAATGCCCTGCTTTCATAGTAAGGTGGTTAAAAAAGTAATGAATTGAGGAATAAGTTGTAAAATCTGTCTGAAGCCAAGGTATGGCAGAGAGAGGATAAAAAGCATGAAGTAGTGAAGGTAAGTCCAACAGGGTCAAAAAGATGGATCAATGATGTTGCATTTCCAGATGGTATTGGAGCATTGAAAAATAAAGAGAAAGAGAGCAAATGAAAGGAGAAATATCATCTGGAAAGGCAACATCATTAATATTATGATTCACAGTCATCTTGATGACTGAGACTCCAAGTTCCAGATCTGTGTTCTATAACACATATTAATCTTAATACATTACATTTCATCAGCTTCCTACACATTTGTCTTGATGAATAAATGAATCTATGCCAACAGACTAGAGATAGTTGCTGCTTATTGACCATTTGTTCAGTGAGCATTATGAACAAATAACATTTGTAAATATTTTATTTATTAAATAAGATATTAAATTAATTATTAAATTAAATTATTAAAATTATAAAATTATGATGCTGCCGAAACAGGAAACGTATGTCCAGTTTTTGAAGTTCTCGCTGTCACAGCATCCCTGTGGTCGTGTGATTGCGATCTGGACATTTGGCAACTGGCTTGCACTTACAATGGCTGCAGTGTCCTGCGATCACATGATCACCATTTGTGACATTCGTTGCTGGCTTCACACAAGCAAAGGACATGGGGAAGCAGGCAGGGAAGGTTGCAAGTTGCTTCAGTAAGTTGCTCCCAGCTTGTAGAAGCCCAGCAGAAGCCAACCCTGGCCTTGCCCTGCCTGCCTGCCTTGCTTAACCATCCATGACCCTTGCTTAATGATGGCAATGTAGCCTGTCAGGATTGTCATCACTAAGCCATGTTACCACCTGGCATTGCATTTTATGATCACATTGCTTAGCAATGGAAATTCAGGCCCCAATTGTTAACCTTACTGTATTTCACAATATGAAAGACTCTGAAAAACTTGCATGAATTCAAAACTCCATTGCGTTGCGCCGATCTAGCTCTAGTTCTGCATAAATAATGGCATAAAACTGTTAATGACCCTAATGAGAGTAAACACTTTCACCTAGATTTACTTTACAATTATAAGTTTGAGTGGTTATAAAAGAAATGGCTAATAGGCTAGCTATGACCAAGCACATGCTAGTTTAGGAAAGTTTTAAAAAGGAATCGTTGTGGAAGCCAGTTAGTTAAGCTATGAAGACTTCAGTTACGCACATTTATTTAACCTGTAACTTTCTTTGCTCTAGAAAACTAATAGGTGAAATTGGGACTCATAATCAGTATATGGTATTTGAACACAGGTTTCTAGGGCTGGAAGGGACCTCGGAGGTCTTCTAGTCCAACCCCCTGCCCAAGGCAGGAAGCTTTATAGGTAGTCCTCGACTTATGACCACAATTGACCCCAACATTTCCATTGCTAAGCAAGTCAGTTGACAAGTGGCTTTTAAGTCACATTACGAGCGTCCTTGCTTGTTAAGTGAATGCCTGCAGTTGGTAAGTTAACACGGTCGTTAAGTGAATCCTGTTCCCCCAGACTTTGCTGGTCAGAAGGTCGCAAAAGTGGATCACCTGACCCCAAGATGCTGCGACCGTCATAAATACAAGCCAGTTGCCAAGTATCCAAATTTTGATCATGTGTCCACAAGGATGGTACAATGGTCGTAAGGGTGAAAAATGGTCACCCTTTTCAGTGCTGTTGTAATTCTGAACGATCACTAAATGAAAAGCTGTAAGTCAAGGACTACTTGTACAATTCAACCATTCTAAAAATGGGTCTCTGGAAGGTCCTTCTCTCGCAAGTCGCCTGGATGAAAGAGACAGACATTCCCCCCCCCCTATTTTTATTAGAATTAAGTTGGAGTTTAGTCAAATTTAGCCATGGCAAACGTTCTTCATATGCTCTACAAAAGCTTTTTTTATTAAAAAAAAAAAAAAGCAAAGGCAACTCAATTTCAATAGCTACCCAGCAATTACTCAGTGTTGGCAAGCTCTGCATACTGCTTCCAATCACCCCATATAGAAAACAGTTATTATTCCATGAAAAAGTTCCTCCAAAATGATACCTTAGCCACAGAAGGTAATGCTGATGCCCAGTTCTTATACTTGGAAAACCTGGGATATCCAACAGCTTTCCTCAGATAGCGGTCATGTATTTCACACGTATTGAGGATATAAAGTCCACAAGCAACTGCATAGCCTCCCCAGTTGGCAACACCTGCCGTAGAAAAGTGCCATTAAATAAAATGTTTGAGCTGAAACAACTGAAAGGTACTTAATAATACAAAGGACCAGCCTATAATTGAAATTTAGCACAAGTAATGGAGGAAACACAGCTTTCCCCATCATTTCTAGGATCAACAGAATCCTGTTGTGCTTTGTCTTATTTGTTCAGAGAGTAATACGTTGATCTATGGCAGTGTTTCTCAACCTTGACAATTTTAAGGCATGTGGACTTCAACTCCCAGAATTCCACAGCCAGCAATGCTGGCTGTGGAATTCTGGGAGTTGAAGTCCACATGCCTTAAAATTGTCAAGGTTGAGAAACACTGAGATTCTATGGCTTTTAGAGCAACAGTATAATTTTTTCCTGACCTTCTAAAACCTGGTTTAGATTATTTTCAAAACATGCACCTATTAGAGGGGCCTAGATAATTTGGATTCCAGTTAGTATTAGTTCTACCCAGCATGAACAACAGTCAGGGCATGGAATTTTATTACTTAATTTGTTTAATTTAAATTGTGCTACCCTGATCACAGAAGGATAATCTCCAGGTCCCAAGGTCCCTAAAACCAACAATCACTTAATCTTGTAACAGGTAAGTTAAAGCCTATGCTTTACCATCCAGGCCTCCATAGCCTCCAGGCATAGGGAAAGAACTTTAATGGCATTACCTGAATAGACCAAGGGTCTGAATAGCTTCAAGGTTACTTATGATAATTAACTCCACAAGACTGTCTCTCCACTTCCAAGCTCTTAAATTGATCCAGAACAATATCATGATCAAAGGTATTAAAGGCTGCTTGAAGATTATGGAAGGCCACCCCCAATTTTAAGCCCTACAGAGGTCATCAGCAAGTATGATCAGTGCCATTGCAGTACTGATCTGAAATCTGCCTGAAAACCTGCCTCTCTGTATAATCTGCTTCCTCTGGCACAGGAAACCTTCCACCTTCTCAATCACTTCCTCTAAAGTTGGTTAGAAACCAGATGAAAATTGTCCAGATTCATTGAATCTAAAAATGGCTTCTTGCGAAGAGACCAAACCACAGCTTCCTTCAAAAGAAGCGGAACCATCTCCTCCTTCAAAAAAGCATTCAGATTTAACCTCCAAGAGGTTTTGATTTAATCTGGATAAGAAAGCAATGGACGCCATTTTTTCCTGCTTAAAGGAGGGCCATGCACTGATATAACAGACCCTGATAGCCTTTCAGATGATCTTGAAGACCTGGCTATGTGCCAGGGCCTGGGGTCCCAAGTGTTTCCTGGCTATGTTGACAACAATGGCTTATAATATCTCTTGGCTGCCATTTGTATTTAATTCTTTTTTTGTACTGTGGTTTTTTTTTGTAAAACTGTGTTTTAACTGTTTTGTTTTTATGTATACTCACTGCTCTGAGTCACTGGTTTGAGATAGGCAGCTGCACAAATTGAATAAATAAATAAATAAAATAGTGGCACAGAAGTTTGTGGAAGAGAGACTTTTATATTGTAGCACTTGTGGTTTGAAATACTTCGCAGAGAATTGGGGAAACAGACCAGCCTCAATACTGTCAACTTTTTTGCAAGGACTTGAAAATGTGGTTCTGTTCCTGGGCATGGAGGTAAGATTTTTAGTGGGAGCCCATGAGGTGCTAGTTTAATTCTAGTTTGATTTTTTTTTCTTACCTTGGCTGCCAGTTATATAATCTATTTTGATATTGTTTTGTTTTTAACTGTTGTTATAGCTGTCCAGAGTCACCATTATGGCAAGATGAACAGCTTATTTAATGATTTAGTTATCTAGGTGATGACTGAATACAATAATCAGAAAAAGTAATGGAGCTTTTTTTTAGTTTCTTATGATTTTGCACATGTGCATATTTTGGCTTGTTCAAGTCTTACCTGCAACAACCGCAAAATCAGCTTCCACATCACAAGCTATGATATCTCCATTTTTAATGTGCTTCTTTGTGGCTTCCTTTACTTTTCCCATTCCTAATTCATTTCCTCCATCCCCAATACCTAAATTAAAATGGAAAAATTTACATTGGAATATTACAGTACATATTACATTTTATACCAATGATCCTTGTAGAAAATCTAATGAAAAATTAAAAATCAGTGGAACTGTTAATATTATGTACAGTAAATAAACCTTTTATTTACAAAACTGTCACATGCCTACTGTGACAACTTTCCATGAAAACTGCACTTTGGGTAACCACTGAAATACCCCAGCTTTATTAATCGTGCATATTAAAATTTGTATCTGCTTTCACAGCTACAAAGAAAGATAATTGAATGAAACATCTTATTGGAAAATTTAGACTTCTACCATTTCTTTCTCCATCGATTTTGCCAGGATGACAAAATAATCAAAATCGTAAATGAGATTGGAAACTTGAACTGTTGCCTAAATTGCTGACTTATTAATATTAGCATATGTGCATGTTTACCCGTCTGCAAGTTTAGGTTAAAAAAAACCTCTATAATATCAGAATAGTTGGGACAGATTAGGAGTTGATAATACATTGGCACCTGGCAGGTGGTATGCGATCCTGCCTAGCCTAGCCAAGTGTAGCAGGGGAGGGAACGAGCCAAAGCGGAGCGACGCAGCACAGGATTTGCCATGAGAGAGTCATCGGGAGCTGCAGGGCTGCTGGGGCGAGACAAAGGCCCCCGGATCGGCACTTCTGGCTCACCCAGAAGAGAAAGCAGGAGGGGGTGGAGAAGCTATAAAAGGAGGCAGTTTTGACGGGAGAATGGGAAGGATTTGGAGATGTTTGTGTGAGAATGGGAAGGCTTTTGCAGAGACGTGTACGTGAGAAAGAGAGAAGCAGCTTTTTGTGAGAAAAGCAGTGAGGAGAAAGGGAGAAGAGAAGAGATGGGAAAGAGAAAGAGGGAGGGAAACAGGAAGGAAGGGAATGAAGGAGATGGGAATGAGGGAGGGGGGAGGGAGGGAGGAAGGAAGGAAGGAAGGAAGGAGATTGGTATGAGAGGGAGGGTGGGTCTGAGGAAAGTCCTGTCTTAGCACTTGGCCAACAGCAGCTCTTCTGCCCTTTCAACATCCCCTTGCCCCCTCCTCCTGGCTATCCTGGTGATCTCCCATCCTATTGCTAAGGATGATTTGGTTACAAAGCTGGGTCTTCTCACATGTAGATGGAACAGGCCTCCCTCTGACTCACACACTTTGCCCTCCTGCACCCACCATGAGCAACCTGGCCAAGGAGAGCGACCACAGCAGCAGCAGCCTTGAGGAGAAGGTAAGTGCAGCCGGATGCCCCCTCGGGGAAGTTGAGCTGGACTGGGTTGGGCTGCAGAGTCCTGGTGCCCCGGGAGCTCGAGGGTTGGGCTGGGCACTTGCCTTCCGCTGCCCAGGGCTCTGGGCAGCCCGTACCACTGTCCGGGAGTCCCCCGCACGGCCCAAGAGGGATGGCTAGGCTCCTCCAGTGGACCATTTGTTAAATGAGTTTTGCCCCCATTTTACGACTTTTCTTGCCACATTTGTTAAGTGAATCACTGGAGTTAAATTAGTAACATGGTTGTTAAGTGAATCTGGTTTCTCCATTGACTTTGCTTGTCAAAAGCTTGCAAAAGGTGTCCAGGGTCCATAACCCTGGGACACTGTGACCATCATAAATATGAATCAGTTGCCAAGCATCCAAATGTAAGTCACATGACCCTGGGGATGCTGCAACGGTCATAAGTGTGAAAAATGGTCATAAGTCACTTTTTTCAGTGCCGTTGTAACTTCGAACAGTCACTAAGCAAACTGTTGTAAGTTGAGGACTACCTGTACTTTATCACTTTTTTCCTTTTTTTTTTGGTCATCAAGTTTTTGATACCTTGCTAGGCAACTGATGGTACTCGAATATTGCCATATCCTAAAAGTGGTACAATCGGTGAAAAGGTTGAAAAGCCCTGATATATACCATCATAGTCTGGCCAAAACATAACAGCCATTATCTTTAAGGATTACAAAGCAACAATTATAATAGTTAACTTCTAATCACAAAAAACTAATAAAATAGACTTATAAGTGTCTATTCTGAAAAAAAAACTACACAAAGATCAGTGGGGCTTATTTCTAAGAATAATAATAATAATATTTTATTTGCGGTCACAGACCAAAATGCTAGTGCAACAAAAGAAAACACAAAAAAGATATAATCACAAACAATTAAACACCAGAAGCCTTGGCTAAAGGGAATTACAACGTTCTCTAAGAAGTTGGTATAGGACTGCCTTTAGAAAAACCACACCAAAAATTGTATTCAAGGAGCATGACAGATGCCTATTATTTGGATCTTCTAAAAATCACAGAACACATGTTTTCAAATTTGAACAGAACTAAATGTATGAGAGAAATTCTATTTAAAATCGTATAAAGTTATTAAGGAGATACTCCATCCCAGCATATTCTAAAATATGCTACTGATACCATTACATTTTATTACTTAGTTTGATCAATCGTGACACACATGGAGCATTGCATTTTATTTCACTATTGTCCAATTAGCTTTAGTGAATTTTCAATTAAAATAAAATTCAAAGTTTTGCATGCACTGCTTCTGCTGAATAGTTCCAATAGGCATGTAATTTTTATGTATTTACAATTTTTGTACATGTGTGTACAAACCAAACTGACCACAAAGCACCCACTTATTGTTTCTTTACTTCCCTTCCACTGCATCAATATACTGAAATAAGATGTCACATCTGCTGTATGTTTGCATGTGCATTTTCTCCTCAAAGCCCAAACTGGGTGTGTGTTCCTGGTCTCCCCTTATTTTGAGGAGCATCATTGACATATTGAATTTATATGTATCTACTTTTGTCCCAGAATCTAAGCAATCTAACACATACAGGTAATCTTCAAGATATGACTGGTCACTTAATAGCCTTTTGAAGTTACAGCAAAACTCCCCAAAGCTCCGTATGACCTTGTTTTGAAGTTACGACTCCTGCAGCACTCCTGTGGTCATTTTCCCTTATGACTGACTAAAAATTGCATTCTGATAGCTATATATATCGTTGCAGCTTCCAGACTTGCACCACATGGCTGTGTGATGAAGTGATCTGTTCCAGTGCTCTGAAAGGCCTTGGAGTTCTTCAAAAGTTAAGTGAGAAGAAAGGTGGCTTGGCCTGTGGGGTATGAAATTGCTCTAATAGAAATTCCTATTTCCATGACTGTGAACATTTGAAACCTTAAGAGAGTTAAATATTGCTTATCGATTTGAGCACCAATTCTTTTGTCTTCCCTCAGTTATTTCAGTTGCATAATGGACCCTGTTCGTAATGTTTCCAGGTAGTTCACAGTAACAGTAATACTTTTATCAGATCATTGAAGGAAAATACACATACTGTACCTGTAGTAGTAATTCCTGGGAGAGTTTGTGCAGCTATAAAGAGTTCATCAATGGGATCTACTAAATGTTTAATATTAACTTTTCTTGCGTTATAGTAATTACCATCAGCAGCCATCCCAGCACGTTCTATTGCTATCAAATGATTAAATCTAAAGAAAAAGAATAAAAAAAAAATTAAGATTCAATTCTAATGCTAATGATAGCTTGATGTACCCACCATTACTAACTAAGGCTTCTCAATTCAAATCAGAAATACGAGTTGCAATAATTTTGATGAAAATGTGGTCACTAATAATAAAAGTAATTGAATGAAACGATTAATACCACATTAGATTGTCCTGTGGCGAGTAGGCCACAGTGAGTTAGTTGGCTGCGGCAAGTTGTCCTAGACCCCTCTGAGATATGCTAGAGCAGTGGTTCTCAACCTGTGGGTCGGGACCCCATTTGGGGTCGATCGACCATTTCACGGAGGTCGCCAAGCAAGGCTGTCTGCCATTTTTTTTGTCCGCCATTTTTTTCCCCTTTTCCGGCGGGTGCCTTACCTCCCTTGGGCTGGGCCAGCTGGTGGTCGGCCTGCTCCGTCTCTGCCGCTTGCCAGCTACGCCTCAGCCGGCGCAGGGGACGGAACCACGCATGCGCGGCACTCCCGGGCAGGGAAAGTCCTCGACTTACGACCGGTTGGGTAGTCCTCGACTTACGACCGGTTTAGTCCTCGACTTACGACCGGTTTAGTCCTCAACTTACGACCGGTTTAGTCCTCGACTTACGACCGGTTGGGGTCGCGGCATTAAAAAGGTTGAGAACCACTGTGCTAGAGTTTGGCATTACTTTGCTTTTGGGGACATATACCTTGGTTTTTCTGGATTCCCATCTTCACATAAGAACTGCAGAGCTGAATCTGGAGAATTGCTTTGGTAACTGATTACAGGAACTGGTGTTTCCAGTATTTCTGGAATATAGAGAAAGACAAAGATAAGTTGGATCATGACATTAATTGTGCCATTGTTAGGCCTGTGGAGAGGGTCCTCCAGGCATGCAGGAGCTACTGTGCCTTCAAGCACCTGCACTTACTTCCCTCCTACAGCCTGTGGATTCAGAGAGAGATGTTGCTAAAGAGCAAAGTGCCTCACCAAATAATCTGCACATGCCTGATCACTGTTTCACAATTATTTGTTTTGTCTTCCCAATATTAAATAGGATCAGTTGTGTGACTGAAATTTTCAGGACGTTCTCCTTCTTTGTAAAATAGGATGAATGTAAAGAAAAATGTGACTAAGTCAGACCTAAACAGGTGGAAATTCTACTGATTTCAATACAAAAGTATTAAAATGTTTTTAACAATTTTTTTTAAACCAAATTATTTCTGTTTTTTATAGCTTGATTAGATTATTCCCAGTTCATTTGCTCAGAATAATTAAATCCCACAAAATACTGGGTGAAATATTTAACTGCAATGTAAGACCCCCTCCCATTTTAAAAGGAAATATTTTGGTGGAAAAAAATGTCTTTCTTTAAGTAAATGGAATATTCACTACAAGAAAGCTTAATTATATGTCCTAAATCCATCCCCATTGGTTCCTCCCTTCTCAAAAAAGAAACAAAGAAACAAACAAAAAACAACCCCCAAACCCCAACAATTATGAAGGAAAATCTGGTGACAGATAAAGGTCATTCTAACAAGAGTAAGGGTGGGCAACTATGGCCCCTTTACAACCTGTGGACTTCAACTCCCAGAATTCCTGAGCCAACATGGTCGTAAAGGGGCCATAGTTGCCTACCCCTGAACAAGAGCATCTGCAGGGAAGAGGAGAGACTGGGACCAAGACAAAGATGGCAAGCACAACCATGCATCAAAGCTGTCCCTTTTGTACATGTATGAAACACTGATACATGTACAATGGCCAAGATGCACCTGCCATCTTGACTTTTGTACCCCTACCCTTATGAATGCCTCTTCACTCCAATAGCATGAGGCTCATATTTGTTGCTTATGGAACTCAAAAACGTTTTCCATATAATTAGTTCTATTGGGGTTCATGGGAGATACAGATGCTAAAACTTCTCTCCCCAGATAAATACCTTTTACTGATAAAAACATACGATATATGATATCTATATAAATAAAAATGTAAATGTTCGTTTGTTCAAAATCTTAAATCTCCGAAAGTTCTTCACCGATTGCTTTGAAATTTTGACACAACGTTGCATTCGAATACGCGTGTGTTTTTATATACCTACTATTATATAGATGTCACACCTGTGACAGGTAAAAACATGCTTTTTTGAAAAACAGTGCCATCTGTTGGACGTAAAAGCATACCCACAAGCATTGTGAAATTAAACATATTACAAACGTGCGCTTTCTCTTTTCTTTCTTTTCCATTTAACCAGACTGAGCCACAGCAACGCGTGGCCGGGTACAGCTAGTTATATGATAAAAACATATTGTATGTTCTATGTTCTAAGTACTGGAAATTAGAATTACTATAGGTATCACTACACTGAACTCTGATTGAGCTCCAATGGAATTTGACCTGGCTCAGAGGAGTCTTGGGAATTCTGAACTGGTATAGCTTACTTCAGATTTTCCTGGTTATCACATCTTGATCCTTGCATGGAACAGGCTAAATTCTAAACACTAGTTTTAATACATATTTAAAGGGATCTAATCACAGATAATACAAAAAAAACCTATCAGCTCTCAGTGGAGGAATGGAAGAGGAAAACCTCAAAGATTCAGACTGCTGTACTCTATAGTTTGTTTTCACTAAAAAAAAATGCTGGCATCTAGGGAAAAAAGTCCCACCACGCTGCAAGACACTCTTTACTAACCACAAGGGCTAGATTCGCACAATGCATTACACCAGAACCAAGTAAGGCTACCTGAGGAACCATCTCACCCCAATAGGCTTGACCTGCTCCACTTCTATCAGCAGAAGGGGCATGCTGTGGCAGAGTCCAGGAACTGCAGCTGGCAGAGTCCAGAAGAGCCTTTTCTGCCATGGCTGCCACCCTTTAAAATATCATCCCCCTAGAAATAAGATCTATAATAATAATAATAATAATAGTAATAGTAAAGTTGGACGGGACCTTGGAGGTCATCAAGTCCAACCCCCTGCTCAGGCAGGTAACTCTATACCGTTTCGGACAAATGGCTGTCCAGTCTCTTCTTAAAAACTTCCAGTGTTGGAGCATCTGCCTCCATCCTTCTTGGCCTTCTGTAAGCGACTAAAAATCCAGCTCTGCCAACTGGCTTGGGGCCCTCCATTCTGAAGGTGCTAGTAGGTTAGATAAGATCCCACCTCCACCCCAGTTACACACCGATCCTTTATTTAATTTACTGATAATATTAATCATTTCAGTTTTAAGATTTGATGTTTTAATGTTTCTATTTTAATTGTTTATATTGCTTTTGTGCTACTGTAAGCCACTCAGAGTCATTTGATGGTAAAACGGAGGCATACAAATTCAATAAATGAAGAAAATAAACCACCTTTTAGTTTAGAGCAGGGGTAGTCAACCTTGGCTCTTTTATGACTCGTGGACTTCAACTCCCAGAATTCCTGAGCCAGCTGTGCTGGCTCAGGAATTCTGGGAGTTGAAGTCCACGAGTCATAAAAGAGCCAAGGTTGACTACCCCTGGTTTAGAGTGATAAATGCAGTAAAGCCAACCTAGTAGGTTTACCTAGATATTTGTTGTGATGCTGGCAGGAGTTTTAAATATATTTTTTTTACAAAACACTATCACAAGTATGTAATTTCCTATCACACACTAGCAGCATTGTCATAATACATGCATTTGAGAATTACTACGCTAGATTTTAAAACAGGAACATAAAAAAGAAGTCAACAATAAAAAAAAATGAAAATGCACAACGTGGACAGTTTCGATTTTTGAGACACTGAAACCCCCTTTCACATAAATCAGGTTATAACGGGCCATGTCATACCTTGCTCAACAGCTTCCTTGATTATCTTTCTATTTAAATCGAGAGCTCTTTGATCCGTTACTATAACTACATTTTTTCCCATGGCTTTCAAGATTGCTGCCATTGCAATGGCTCCAGGTGGCCCATCATTTTCTTCAGGAGGTTCATACTTGAAATGGGTGGGAAATCCTGTAGTAATCAACACCGACTTTGCATGGGAAAGCGACAGGCAGGTCTTTAGGAGTTCATCCGGAGAAAACAGATGTTTCACACCTCTGTTCCCTAAGCATGGGTAATACAAATATTTCAGACTAAGAACATCCTGGCTTGCCACGGGCATTTATTTAAAAATAAAACTAGCTTGTTTTGATTGCTGATAGATAAAAAAAAAATCTTAAAAGCTGACAGATGCAATGGCTCACGGTATCAGGAAGTGAGACAGAAGAGAAGATTTCAGAGCTGCTATACCAGATTTTTTTTCTTGCCTCAACAAGCATATTATTTGTTTTGGCCTCCCTCTGATTTTTTTTACCTCTTCAAAACAACATTTGATACATCATTCATTCATATTCTCTAGAAAGCCTCTGCAAAGTTGAGCTACAAGTTAAGTATTAACTTAAATGATGAACCTAGGGCTAATTTAACCATAAAGGGGTAGTTTGGAAATAAATACATGCATTAGAACAGTGGTTCTCAACCTTTTTAATTCCGCGACCCCAACCGGTCGTAAGTCGAGGACTAAACTGGTCGTAAGTCGAGGACTAAACCGGTCGTAAGTCGAGGACTACCCAACCGGTTGTAAGTCGAGGACTTTCCCTGCCCGGGAGCGCCACGCATGTGTGGTTCCGCCCCCTGCGCCGGCCGAGGCGTAGCTGGCAAGCGGCAGAGATGGAGCAGGCCGACCACCAGCTGGCCCAGCCCAAGGGAGGTAAGGCACCTGCCGGAAAAGGGAAAAAAAATGGCGGACAAAAAAAATGGCGGACAAAAAAAAATGGCGGACAGCCTTGCTTGGTGACCCCCGTGAAATGGTCGATCGACCCCAAATGGGGTCCCGACCCACAGGTTGAGAACCACTGCATTAGAAGTAGGATTTTTAATTCGATTTTTGCTTTCGACAGGATTGCTGCAGAAAATTATACAGAGATCACTTTTTCTAGTAGATGTTTTAGACTCATAACATGGTTGTGTTTTTTCTCTTACCTGGATCTATCGCTATTATATCTTCTAAGCATATAATTTTCTTTACAGCTGCTGTTGAAGCAATGCTATAATGCAAAGGATTCTGAGAAATACAATAGACTTCTGGGAGATCTTTATCATTACCAGATGCATCATCTTCAATTTCCAAATCAGTGATAAACATGCAAACAAGGGGAATGGGTAAAAGCCAGTGGAGCCTCTGGGAAGTAAAGAAAAGCTCAGTAAGCAGTGTACAGCAGGAATTAAAGCCTTTCTATCTGGGATGAGTTTGACCATGTGAATTTTGAGGAAATGGGCAGAGTTCTCAGAGCTATTAGTGCAATCACCTATACGTTAGCTCCATGTCCTGGGATAAAATGGTGGTGAATTTACCCTTGAGTGAAGGATGATCCCTTTTGTTCTGAAAATACAGTGATGCACTGTCTCCTTAAGAACTTATAGCTGGTCCCCCAAATACTGAACATTTGTCTAGTCATCAAACCTCTGCTTTGGGGGAAAGGATATGAAAAAAGTGATGTGCGAGAACAGATGGTCATGAATGAAAATATAATAAATGAATATCAACAGAATATAAAAGTTGGTGCCCAGAAAAAAAGACCAAATACATGACTATTTTACTATTGCATACTCTATAGCTGGTAGAGTCTGGTAGGTCCTTTTTCAGTTAATAAATTTTATTAAAAGGTGTAAATTTTCATTAGTTGCCACTTCATCGGATACATAGAGTGTCTAGGCTGATATAGTTTTAAAGTGGGATGAGGTGGGGAGAGAAGGTGGGAGGAAAAGGTAGATGAAAATAGGTTGGTTATGCAGATGCAGGTTACATATGATAACAATTACAAGTACTTTATCAATTAACAATTACAGGTAATCCTCAACTTACAACAGTTCATTTAGTCACCATTCAAAATTACAATGGCACTGAAAAAATTGATTGATGACGGTTTTTCACACTTACGACCATTGCAACATCCCCATGGTCACATGATCAAAATTCAGATGCTTGGCAACAGACTCATATTTCAAGTGTCCTGGGGACATCACCTTTTGCAATTTTCTGACAAGCAAAATCAATGGGGAAACCATATTCATTTAATAACCATGTTACTAGCTAATCACTAATTGCAGTGATTCACTTAACTATAGATAGATAGATAGATAGATAGATAGATAGATAGATAGATAGATAGATAGATAGATAGATAGATAGATAGATAGATCTGATCTATAAGAACCTTGAAAACAAAGAATTATCAAACGTCAACCTGAATTTGTGAAGAATATACCTTGCTACACTATTCATGTGTATCATGTAACTTTCTCAGTAGAATGTAAGGATGTTAAAATCATAATGTACTTCAGCAAAGTGTTTGATAAACTACATGGTAATTAGCAAATCTGTATGGACTGATTGGCATGACAAGTAGATATTCAGCTAGCTCAATATCCTATTCCAAGAATGTTCATCAAATGGTTCCTTATCACATTGGCGAGATATCAAGTATTGGTTCATCTATTCTTCACTATTTCATTAATGATTTGGATAATGAATTATAAGGAATGCTCATAAATTTGCAGTTGATGACCAGCTTATAGCTTATTTTCTAAAGATAGAAACAAAGTAATAGTGTTTAGTCAAAATCTCAAACAAATGATCATAATTTTTATTAGGAAATTTTAGACTGCATCAACAGAATTTCCAAATCAAAAGAAACAACCATTCCACTCTGTTCTGATTTGATAAAAGTTTCTAAAATGTGTATCATAAATAAGTGGGTCTCAGGTAAATACCTGCCTTGCCCCCATCGTAGCTGGGTACACAGAAAAAAGAAATGTAATTCTTAAATGTTTGGCATGTAAGAAGAATCTAAATCATAAAATTACTTTACAGGGCTATTCTGTGCATAATTAGGGGAAAATTATAGCTTTGTGGAAAAAATATTCTGCAAGGTTAAGTTCAAGGCAAAAGACAAATAGACGATGGATTATCAGAGTTGTTGGTTCTTTTATGTAGGTTATATTTTAAAATCTGAACACATGAGAAAACAAGACTTGATGCAGAAGACCTTGAGGCTTGGAAAAAACAAAAGCAATTGTAGAAGAGGCCAACAGAAGAGAAGGCTGATATTATCACAGATGATGTGAGCATGAGCTTATATAAATCCAAAAAAGCAATTACTGCAACTATGTTTGTCCACTGAGTCATGAACAATCAGAAGTGACCAAACAACAACTTTTAAGCATCACTGGTTTGCTGTAATAAAGCAGCAGTTCTGGTAATTCCACTAAATACATACTGCAATTGATGACAGCTTCTATTCCTGTTACACCACAGGCCCAAAAGACTGGTACATCTCCAGGATGAGCTTGTACTGCATCACCATATTCTGGACTGGAAAGATCTTTAATTCCTAACAAATCTAAAATGAAATTTTATTAATACTCAAGCAGAAATGTAGAAAACAGCCACTTGTCTGAAATGGTATAGGGTCTCCTACTTCAGCAGGGGGCTGGACTAGGACCTCCCAAGGTCTCTTACAGTTCTATTCTATTCTAAAACCCAATTAGGCTGAGGCTTAATGTTGCAAAACATCTGACAATTCCCTGGGAGAGAGCCTGGGATGTGGCATGGAAAGTGATGTTGGTGGGATACTGTTGCATAGGATACTGGCATCACAATTCCTAGTAGGATCTTGGCTGAATTCTTTTAAATCCTCTTACTTGTACACAAAGTCATTATAAAGCTATACTGTACATTAGTAAGCCAGACAAGCCTAAGGCCTGTTACTTTTCTATCTCATGCATGCTTTGTATTATAGATCATAGAAACACAGAAAAAAAAACACTGACCAGAAGAGCCAATGTGAACTGGTGCTCCATGTGATTTTTTCATTGGATGAGTGATTTGCACACACTCCTTCAGTTTATCTTTAGGTATATATCTCATAGTTACTATTAGATGACAGTGAAAACATTCGGTATCACAGCAAGGAACAGCAGTCTGGTAAAGTTTTTAAAAATGATTCAAGCATTAAAAACAATGAAGAAATCTCCAAAGGCTTTTTCTTTCAAGTAGAAGGCATCATGTCTCTGAGATAAATGCAATTGGGTGATAAAAGGCCACAAGATTAATCACTAGCATGTTCAGTTGTCTTCACCCACATATCATTTATTATCACCTTTATGAATCATATGGTGTGATATTTAAGCTCATGCCATTGCTATTGCTAACTTTCCCTTTAATTGCATGGTTACAGCAACTAAACATTGAAACATTAGATAAATTAATAATGTCATATTAGATTTGTTTTATTTTCGAATAGTATTAAGTTATAAATGTTTCAAGAACATATTTTGCAACTAAATAAAAATAGCCAGATATTACAGTAATTGAGATTCAGCATGAAATATAAGATTGTCGTCCCACAATAACTAGAAGTGAGAACACAGATTTTATTGGTAAAGATATTCCTTGTAATTAAACTAATCGCAACATGAAAACAGGTGTAGTTAATCACATGCTGATCAGCTTATTCATTTTGAAGGTTTGCATTAAGAAAGGAATCAGACTATAGTACTTGTCAATCAAATAAAAGGGGAAGCTGAGCAAACTGAATGCTTTATGTCTCGTGCTGTGATTAATAGCTGATCTTGAGAAATATTTTGCATTTGTTTAGAGAAAAAGGCATTTTTTTCCTTCAACTAAGAGCGGGTTATATCACTAATAGCGAAAACTGCTTGTGACTACAAAAATCCAAATGACCATCAGATGGCAGCAAATAATTATTTTTTTTTATATCTATCTGTTGCCCTCTGATGGTTATTTGCTAGCTCTGATGAATTAATCTTCATTAATTAATCTTCATTAATCAAATACTTATATGTTCTGAAACAAAACTGAATTTTCCAAAGTAATGTTTTAATCACTTTGTATATTTGGAAATAATTTCAATACTCCATAGGCCCAATAACTTCTGTCACATTGCAACTAAAATGGCCTCTCTTCCTATTTTTTTTAATAAGCAGTGATCACATCCAGCCAAGAGAAATAAAAAAGATATGTAACGTATTACAAATCAAATAATTCTATATTTGACAGCAATTGAGTAAAACAATACTGAAGTTATCATCTAAAAAAAGAAATAAAAAAATGGAAAGCGTGAAAGAATTGGCTGTTCTGTTCACTAGAGGCTAGAAAAGAGCATTAGAATTTTATATGTGCCCATGTGCAATCTAAGAATGCCTTCCAGCATTCTTTCTGAGCTAATACAAATTATTATTTCTATTGTATCTGCAACTATTTATATAGTATTATGTGTTTTAAGAAACATTCCCAGCAGGTGGCAGTACTTGGCTAATGTTGTTTGAATCTACAAGCTAATGGGGGTTTGAGCCAGATTAATACTTGGATGGGAGATCTCCAGGAGATACTGTCCCAAAGGTGCTTTTTACAAAAGGGAACTGGACTCTCTTGGTTTTTTCCTATTCAATTTTTCTTCTATTCTTACCTTATACATGCTTACATTACATTGCTGTTCCACATTTCTTACAGGAACGCCAGGTTTCTGGAGTGCCTTTTCAAATGTAAAACTACAGCCAAGATAAAAGGTCACCATGTCTTTAAACTGTTCAGAATATTCTTTTAGATTTGTCAAAATTCCTGTGGATATTCCATGTTCATATTTCTTGTATTGCAAGCAGTCACTTCTGCAAAATGAATTAGCATCATCATTGGACTAGGTCAGGGGTAGGCAACCTTGGCTCTTTTATGACTGGTGGACTTCAATTCCCAGAATTCCTGAGCCAGCATTCTGGGAGTTGAAGTCCACCAGTCATAAAAGAGCCAAGGTTGCCTACCCCTGGACTAGGTACTTTTTTTCTGACTCTTAACAAAATATCTACTTACTTTCAGAGAAATGGTCACTGAACTCAGTGGGACATATTTTTAAGTAAAATGTCATGTCATCTAGATTAGTTTAAGGATCAGTTCTTATGTATAAAGGTATGTAAATGTTGAGAACTAGAATTACACTGCCTGCACAAAAAACTGCACTCGTGCTTTGCATTTTCCTGGGTCATGAGAAAACATAACTTAATTTTAAATCTCTCTCTCCCTTATAATTCACATACTTATAAAAACTGTGCAACCCTACATTGAGTTTTAAAAATTAAAAAGTCTGAAATAGAAAATACTGAGATTTTTGCAGTAAAGTAGCCTAAATGCCCAGAAATGGTAAATGGCGCTAAAATATTTCTTGATAGTTTCCAACACAGACAACTCTATACATACCTTATATCAGAACTGTTGCTCAAGAAAGGACATTTCCATTCCCCTGGCTTACTTCTATACAGCAAGGGAAGTGGTCCATCATTTGCTTGACAAAATTTTTCAAAGTCATCAGCAAAAGATTTATGCATAATTACAACATTTGCCTGAATAAATCCTGTAAATATAAAAAGGCAGAAATTTAATTTAATGTTATTTATTCAAATAAATATATTTATCATTTTTTGGATGTAATCAATCATAAAAGTGAAAAATATATTTCTGATTTACTTGCAAGAACATCTTTTGTACCAAATTCTTTCTCCCATATTGCTCGCTTAGATATTGCCAATTATGCACATATCTCACATTCAGATTGACAACAGTATAGATAAATCATAAATTTATCTCACTTATGTTCTCAGCATAATTTTTAAATAGCATTCTATCACCTAATCAATGCTCTTATATTCTCTGATTTAATAAAATTCGGTGTCACCTTAACAGTGACACAGAAAGAATGAATTTTAGTAGGCTGCAAAAATTCTGTTTTGCTTCCACGTAGGGGTTGTCTGTTTGTTGCAATCAAGATTTGCTGTTCTTTTTTAAATCTAACATTTTGAATTTTAAGTATAACTAAACTAAGAGTAACCTTACTTAACAGAATGAAAATCTCTGTATAAATGGAGCATAGTATCCTCCACTCAGTGTGATTGTGGGGTCCCATGTCAAACTGCAGAGCATATTGTGACTGTCCAGTATCTGATTTTTTTTAAATTTAAACAATGCTGCACTTCAGTGGTTATACAGCCTAGGCATTAATACCTGAATGTACTGTATATATCTTTTTGACACTTATATTTTATTGGGTTCTATTAATCTAGCTGAAATGTTAACTTATATTGCTAGTCCAGGTATAATATGCCACACACTAAATAAATAACAGAATTAAATTTAAATCTGAATAAACATAAATAATATTTTACTGAATGTTACTGTAAACACTTTAGTACTGAGTCCATTAGTCACCTGGGCTAAGCCAATCAAACAGGCTCTACCTCTTTGCAGTGGGCTGGCATGAAGAACTCCAGGGCAAGGGGGCATGGTCTGAGCATGACAAGTGAGTGACATTAATTTCCTCCAAACCTAGAGCACTATGTCACTACCCCAACATAAAAACTAATATCTAGTGTGTAACATCCATTGTGGATTGGACCGTTAATAATTTGGATCAGGTCCATGGTTGCCATGGTGGCCACGAACTCCTGTGCCTGATAGGATAGCCACAGCCACTCCCTTACCTGTGCCCTGAGTATATTTCACAAAGAAATTTGACCTGTGAAAGAAGGTCCTGGCTGGTACAGTAGTGGTGTGCATATAGGTGGCATATAAGCAGGCAGCCAAAAAGACGAGGGTGGGGATAGGGAGGGGAGAGTTCACGAAGAGGCAGTCTCTTACTTTACTGAGGCTCAGGGCTGGGAATGGCTTAGATTGTGGGGGAGTGCTTGCCTAACCAGTGGTAGATTAGTTAACAATGGGACTGCTGGAATTGCTGCCGCTAAGTCATACAATCACATGATGTCACACATTATATTGCATTGCTTAGCGATGGAAATTCATTCCCAATTACTGTCGTTAACCGATTACATGTACGTACTCAGAAGCATCTCTTCCTGGTTTTGATTTTAAAATATTGCCAGGTAACATCCTGCCAAAGACTCATAAAATTCACAGGACAATAAAATATTTTCCACCATTTTAAAATCAATACCATTACAGGAACAAAATCTTTGAGAAATGCTACCATATAGCAGATTTGAGGCAAGAGATTTAAACTGGTCTTTGAAAAGACTATTTGAATGTACTTAAATATAAAGTATGAAAATATTTAGGGAGCTAAAAATACATTTGTAATTAATTCCAAAAGTTTCCCATGATCATGGAAGTTTGGATTTAGCCATTAATTCCTGTAGTGAACTGTCCCATAATCTTTGTTTAATACAATGAAATGCTGAGGTCCTACCCCTGGAAAATAAATAATCATGATCAATGCCAATCTGATTAATTTTGGGGTAACCTGCTTAAGCTACATATCTATTCATTTGGGATTTCATGAAACAGCCCTTCTTTGTTTTTAAAGATGTTTATTTGCAACCAAAACTTAATATTAAAATGTCACCATCAAGGCAAGTCTGCACACCAGACATTCACCCTGGTGCCGTCATAGGAAGTCAAAATAGAAACAGGTAAAACATAAGGTTGAAATGGTAGATAAACAATAAACCCTGTGCTGACAAAACAACAAGACAAGACAGATTGAGTTTGATGTAGTGATTAAGATGCTGGCCTAAAAATAGGAGATGGTGAGTTCTAGTCCCACCTAAAGCATGAAAATTGGCTGGGTGACTTTGGACCAGTCATTCTCTTTCAGCCCAATCCATCTCACAGAATTGTTGTTGTGGGAAAAACAGAAGGGAGGAATATTAGGTATGTTTGTAACCTTGAGATATTTACAAAGGCAGGATAATAAATAAATATTAATCAGAAAAAGAGCCTCACTCTATACTGAAAAATTAAAATATGGAAATACAGGAGGGAATATTATGAGTAGCTTTGCCTTTATCTGCCACTGCCAAGTGCAAAACTTGAGTTGTTAGTGTTACACCTGGATGACCCTCCCCCTTCCCCTCATTCCATTGAGTTGCACAAGTTCAAAATTACACAACAGCTGCAAAGTACAAACTGCCTAACATTTCCTGTTTTTCTTTAAGTTTTATGTAAAAATACTTTAAAACTCCCATAGAGATTGAATGTACACTGAATAATAATGACAACTCATAATTTCATATGGTAATTAAGATACCATTCCTTAATCAATATTTAAACTCTGGATTGCTTAACCATAAAATAGTTTTAGTTTGTAAAAACGGAATATGCTTTTATATGAATTTATATGAATTAGAGAATAGAGAGTCAAGATAATTTTAACTGGAATTTCTACATAATGATGGTAATTTAAATAAACTATTTTTGGAGAAGCATTTATATTAATTCATGAATTAATTAGTCTTCTGTTAAATCAGTTTATATGTCATTTTGGAAAAAAACCTGTCTCCGATGTTCCTGTTTCATGTTAGTCTGAAGTTTGGGGAATAAATAACTAACAGGATGTTAAGAAAATAACATAAAAAATAAGCTACTGAACAGAGCCAGCTTGACTGCCCTTCTGCCAGAAAGCTAGGATGTGAATAAAATATAATTTAAAAAAATACAGTCTTAAATTTATACATAAAAAATGACTTTGAGCATAGTTCAGCTAGGAATTTCCCTGCAGTGATCAGATCAGTTAAAACAGTGGTTCTCAACCTTTTTAATGCCGCGGCCACCAACCGGTCGTAAGTCGAGGACTAAACCGGTCGTAAGTCAAGAACTAAACCGGTCATAAGTTGAGGACTAAACCGGTTGTAAGTCGAGGACTACCCAACCGGTCGTAAGTCGAGGACTTTCCCTGCCCGGGAGCGCCGCACATGCGTGGTTCCGCCCCCTGCGCCGGCCGAGGCGTAGCTGGCAAGTGGCAGAGACGGAGCAGGCCGACCACCAGCTGGCCCAGCTCAAGGGAGGTAAGGCACCTGCCAGAAAAAGGGAAAAAAATGGCAGACAGCCTTGCTTGGCGACCCCCATGAAATGGTCAATCAACCCCAAATGGGGTCGCGACCCATAGGTTGAGAACCGCTGAGTTAAAATGTTGCCTTGTCTAAAAATTGATTAAATTTACTAATTGGATAAAATACAATAGAATGCTCATTTGTCCTTTCTCATGGCTGCAAGGGAAGAGGAGATTATTCAAAACTGTGGCATTTCACATATGTATCTTCTGGTTCATTTATTTATTTATTTATTTATTTATTTATTTATTTCTTGTATTTCTACCCCGCCCTTCTCCCTGCGGACTCATACCTGAATGTCTATAACATAGATCTCTAGTCCATCTCTTTTTTGTACTAAAACTGATTAAACTAAGAAACACAGGTTTATCAGTTGAAATATTATAAATTATTTCTTAATGCACATCGAGGGTTTACCAAAAGGATTTCACTGATCTACCTTTATACTTACCTTCTGCCATTCCGGAGGTATTGCTAATGTTGAGTTTATTTGATCGAATCAGATTTCTGACAGCATAAGGAAGAAGAGCTTTCAAACCTGCCAGGCAAACCATTTCTTCATCCTGAAACAAGATAAAACCATATGTTAGTTTTATAGATAGATATTATACATAGCTATTCATTATAGATAGAAATTTAAACCACCATTATTTTAAACTTCTTATAATTTTAGTCGATGAACTTTGTCTTTGAAATGGTGAATTGCTCAATCTTCCACTCCATGGATATTCTGATTATTTTCTAAAACAAATATGGCTTCACTATCTAATGAAATAGATTTTGGAGATCAAATATGAAGCATGGCACAACCCTATTAAAATATAGCTGCATGGCATAAAAGTTATCGCTTTTAATTTTAGAGTTAAACTATATTCTATATAATTATGTTCTCACACACTTGCCCCTTAACAGTTCAAGATTAATTTCAATAAATTTTTCAGCTTTCTATAATCACTGGCTTCAGGATCTACTATTGATAAAACAATAAAATAAAAGCTCCAATAATCTTATGTCTAAGTTTACCTTTAATTTCATTGAAGTCATTATTCTAAGGAAAATAATTCCTGAAGAAGTAACACCGATTTAAAGCATGGAACATTCACTGATGTTCTTTTAAGATTAAGGAGTTAATATTTAATCCATAATTGGTTACATATTTTGAATGTTTAAAAGAATAACAATTTCTGGTATTTGTCCAAAGCAAGACTACAACTGAGTATTGATTGTTTTGTATATTTGTTACAAGTATATAGAATTTACACATTTTTGCCAGATATTTTACATATTTAGGTGAAAAATAAATTACATCATTAGTAGTTCTAGCCAGAATGGGAACTGTAGTTCAACAAGAAAAGCATAAATCCCTCTATTTTAAAGAAGCAGCTGAAGTCCTTTTCATTAATTGCAAGAGAAAAAGGGAGGTGAGCAAATGAACTATGATAACCTTACCTTACAAAGCTCTCTTTACTGATACCCAACTCTACTGATGCCCAATTCCATAGTGAATTAAATTTACTTCTTCTATGATACCATTTGAACTAATTAAGTTAAAGGAACTGTTGCCCAACCGGACACAGAACAATGCAAACATTTCAGAACCACAAAAAAATACACTGGGAAGGGAAGTTAAGAGACAGTTATTTTCATAACTTGACTATAAGTGGAGTTTTAAAACTATTTGCTGGTTTTTTGCATGTTCCACACAAAAACACATATATCAAAATTTTGATTTCAATACTAACTGATATTTACTCTATTTAAAATTGTTGCTCACGGTACTGAGCTTTTTTCCCCTTACACAATGAATTCATAATCCTTTTTAATACATGTAGCTTCAAAGTATTGTCTCTCACTGAACCTAATGAATGTTCTATCCTGATTAAAGTTACCAGAAGGGAGAAGTATATAATTTGTTGAATTTGTGAAACAAATTATATATTTTCACAGAAAAAATGCCTTCTTCTTAAAATGGGTATGGTTATTTGTAGATATTGTTGCCACAGTAGATAAATACTATTTTGGACCTGCCGTTTTCAGCTTTTTAGAAGAAATGATATTACTATTAATGATTCTAGGATTACTCAATTTGACTTATATCTTGTAGAATGGTCTCTCCTATACAAAATGCTCATGAGAAGCACTGATTGAATCTTTTTTTTTCAGCCTTGCTTACAGTTGTTTCCTGAAATCACCAATCCAATACTATCATCTGGAATTTTGGGGCATTTCCAGTTGATCATTCGTTCTGTAATCCAAGTCTTTTGATTTCATAATTTGTCTCAGACGGTTATATTTACAGACAAGTAGAATGCCACAGAAATGGGCATGTTAAGATGTTAGTGAGTTTGCAATACTGTAGAACTGATAGACAATCTTGCCTTTCCTGGCCAACAGATGAGCATAGAGATAAACTCGGCCTGATCAATCTGCTGAGGAGCAAAGAGTGCTTGTTTTTTTTCTTTTTGAAGGGAAGTTTTGCACTGAAAAAAATCTACTCTTTGTTCAGAGAGTAAACACAGGATTCTCTGTATGAGTATTAGTGGCAAAGTATCTTGTTCTTTTCATCTGTACATGTTGATCCCTTGAGTCAATCTGAGGCATCACTCAGCGAGGTGAAAATGCAGACATGTCTGCACTGACATTTATTGTTAAAAGACCTTCCTTTTTAATAAATAAATTAAAACAGCAACAAGAAGAAGCCAGGGTCTTACACAAAAAGCAACTCCTGTGGGAGTGAAATTATATGATGGATTTACCCCCCTCCCCAATCCATGATCTGACTTGCACCCCCTCCTGGATGTGGTCTTGAAAATAGAACTTATTCCTTTAAAATGATTATGTCTATGTCTTCTTCTCTATTCCCTTTTCCTTCCCCATCTTTTCCACTATTTATTTTTGTATTTTCATTGTATCGTATACTATAAAACTAATAAAACTTTTAATAGAAAAAAAAAGATTAGTGTTAAAGAACAGACTGCTTCTCTTGTTCCTTCTATTTGTTTCCCCCCCAATCTGGTTCAAATTTCATACCTCTGTTGTGGTAGGCACTAACGTATGCAGATATAATCTACTTGACAAAAACCAGAAATTTTAGAGTTACTTGGATGAATAACAAAACTATATCTATCTAACTATATGTTTATCTGCAAAAATCATAGAGTGGTAGTAGATTGGAATGTTACCATGTTAGCAATTGGCATGGTTGCAAAATAGTACTATAAATGAATTATAGGCTGCAGCAAGAGAAGTAAAATTTCCAAATCACAGGAAATAATAATTTATTCTGCTTTGACCTATTTTAAGTTTTGTGTTCTATTCTGGACATTACACTTTAAAAGAGATTCAGAGAAACTAGACCAGTTCAGACAAGAGCAATTAGACTGTTAACAGGATATTAACTAAGAAACTAAGTCCAATGATGCAAGATTTGAAGGAGCTGTATACGTTTAGATTTTAACCTTAGGAGGGATATGACAGTATTCTTCCAATACATTAAAGAATGTCACAAACATTCAGACTTTTCAGAGTATAGTTCACAAAATAATCACTTTAAGTTACAGATTCCATTGACTGTTCTGACCTGAAATGACTATTTGCAGTAGCTATTTTTTTCCATGTTCATGTGTTTTTAAAGAGGGTTGGGTTGCTTTAATGAACAGCAGATCTGCTGTCTACACGCAAGCTCCAAAATACTTCTTTCAAATAATTTTAAAGCACGTCCAACCTATCTGTCTATGTACCTAGGCTGCTTTGACTCAAATATATTAATATATAGGTTAAATCCAGTGGTCGTGTTGTAGCACAAAAACAATTTTTAATACTTCCATCTCTATCTCCTGTCTTTGGGAGGTCTTATGGGATGCTCCAAAATGGATTTGTACTATGTGCTATGAAGAGAAATCACTGAAGTTTTGATTTTGGCTTTGGAAGGGGTTTTTTTTGCACATCAGTTTAAATATACTTTGTATTTTTACTAATTTACCTAATAAACAAAAATTATTTTCCTAAAAGGTTTAAAACCTTTATGTCCTGCTGAGACAATAATAATAAGAACAACACAAACTCATTTGTGGAATACTAAATATTCTCTGCTCATTAATTAACTTGATTTTTCTATCCTAATGCAAAGAAACTAAAATATAAACATAGCTGTATTTTAGGAGCTGAGATGATACTAATGTTTGTATCAATGGCTGATATTTGTGGGGCATCATATTATGCATAAAACAATGAAGCTGTTGGTGCTTCTCAGGATGCTGTGGCTTCATGCCATCAATGTCCTTTTGGCTGTGCACAGAGGCATTCTTGGGTGGCAACAGTGGGGCTGGGACTGAAAGAATTCTGGAGTTTTCAGAAGTTTTAGCCAGCTACCACAGCCCCCAGGCCTCTACTTCTGTATCAGCATCACATTGTGGCCAGCCGCCCCAACTCCACAGCACAAGCACCAGTTGCCACTGCCCCGTGCTCCATAGCCCTACCATGTCCAGTTGACCTTTGCCAACTTTCTTCCATTGCTGCTGAGGTACTGCCAGCCTGACCTTATGCAAAGCAACTTCTGGCTATGCCAGGCCTTCTTCCCAAATCTGCTCATACTGTTCTCCATATAGTGTACCCCATTCTCATGATGCTTCTGAAACCCTTTAGAAAGCGTCTGAGATCTTCTGAAGCATTGCAAGAACAGGTTAAGTTATTTGGAGAGGGTCAGCTGTCCTGTTCTCACAATGTTTCAGAAGACCTCAGAAGCTTTCTGAAAGATTTCTGAAACATTGTGAGAACAGGGTGGCCTATTTGGAGAATGGTGTGTTTGATTTGGAGAATGGGGCAAGTGGTCTCAGGAATAAGGCTTGGCCTGGCCTACAGCTGTGTTGTAAAAACAGCCTGGACATGCCTTGTCAGCAGTGAGAGGAAGATAGTAAAGTTGTTGGGCTTGGCAGCAACTACACATTGCAAGGTGGTAGATAGCTGGAGCATTGAGCTTGGTGGATGGCTGTGGTAAAGTGCCTGAGGAGTCACTCTTCAGTAAATGTTGCTAGCTACAAGTAGAGGCCTGGGGGCAGTGGCAGTCAGCTAAGACTGCTGAAGGCTCTGGGCTGCAGTTAACACCAAGGAATGCCCCTGTGCAGGGTGGCCCAAAGTGTAGGGATGGGTAAAGACAGGTGGGTTGGAGGAGTTGAAGAGCAAACAGTTTCTTACCTTACTGAGGCACTAGGCTGGGAGGGAGCAAACTGGGAATGGTTGGATCATAGTGCCTCTCACCTAACCTGTGCATTTCAGGTTTATGATAGTAACTAGGATTACCCAGGATTGTAAGTTGAGAACAACCTGCATAATATAATAACAGTAGTAACTGTACAAAATAGTCTCTAGAGTCAGAAGCCAACGGCATATACAGATAGTCCTCGACTTACATACCATTAATTTAGTGACCAAAGTTATAATGGCAGTGAAAAAAGTGACTTATGACTAATTCTTGTAATTATGATTTGTAGCATCCCTATGGTTACATGATCAAAATTTGGGTACTTGTCAACTAGATGTATTTATGCAGCATCCTGGGGAGGGGTGTCACATGATTGCCAATTTGTGACTTTGCCAGCTGGTTTCTGGCAAGGAAAGTCAATAGGGGAAGCCAGATTTACTTAATGGTCATATGATTCATTTAACAACGGCCATGATTTACTTAACAATCATGGCAAAAAAGGTCAGAATATCAGGAGGAACTCACTTAACATTCACTTTGCTTAGCAACCAAAATGCTGGTCCAAATTGTGGTTGTAAGTTGAGGACTACTTGTAATAAAACCAACATCTGTGCACTGTGAGTTATCAGAGATCAAGCTTGCCAGTCAACAGGATATCAAAAGCAAGAAAAAACACTTAACTTTTTCTGAAAAATCAATTATCAGATTTCGTCTATAGCTTCAGGATGAGATAAGGTGCAGTGCAAAGTAGTTTTGAATTTATTATTCAAATACATCCTATATATCTCTTATACACAGCAGAAGTACTCTCATATATTGAATTTAATTGCACTTGTTCAGTTTGCTTATGCACTGTTTCATGTTTACCCTCACTTTGGCTTTTCAGAGATCAATTCCCAACTTCATATTCTGTATGAGTATTAATTAATTTCTTCTTTTATGAGAATATTATTTCTAGAATAGTTAACAATTAACTTATAAAAAACTAGAATATTTCCCCACATTACATAAGTGATATATATATATCACTTAACTGAGCAACTTTTGGAAATAAATCACAAGTCTAATTATCCATTATCAGAAATCTCCTCTCTATCTGAGTTAAACTCAGAAATCGGACGCTTGTCCTACCCCCAAAGAAAAGATTTGCTCTCTCCACCAAGTTGCTTAAGCTAAAGCAGGGTTTCCACCCCCCTCCACCATTTGCTTAGGATGGAATGACAGCTCCTAGATCTATTCTGTAGTGAGACACTTGAACACAAGAAATAAATTCTAAATCAACGAAAGATATGTCAGCAATGTCATTTCTATTTGGCTCGTTTCCTTGCCTTTCAAAATTCATCCAGCATTTGATTAGTGGTTCATGAGTATCCTGCACTGACCTTAATGGCGCTATTTTCTATACAGTAAACATTCCTGCCCTTCCTTTTAATGTGGTTCGTTTTTATTTTTTACAGCCCGTGAATAAAGGGTGGTTTTTGGAGAGCGTAAGGATCACAGTATGTGCAATATTTCCAAAGGGACCTTTCAATCGTCAAAATGTCAAGGACTTTAACGCACTCACCACGCTAATCTTCGTGCCCACGCAACCGATTACCTGCCTTTTTTTACACTCAGGAGGTAAAATACTTACTCGCTGGTAGGAAAGATCGAAACTGGATGAAGATTGGGGGGGAGGAGAGAGAGAGAGAGAGAGAAAGAGAGGGGGGGTCAGCGCCCGCGATTGGTGTAGACGCTAAACCAATGAGGACCCGTGTCTCTTAGGAGACGATTGGATTGAAGGGGGTGTATTTGTTACGGTTTTTGACCAATCCCCGGCTTGGAGTGTAATCTCTCAGGCCAATGAACACTCAGTTCGACTCCCTCTCTTTCATTGCTTTAGTTAGTAGATGGGGGTGCAGATTGAATTTCTCGGCTGTTCCAGGTTCTTTTACCTCCCCCCCCCGCCTTTTCTTTGGAGCGCTAGTCCCTCCCTCCCTCCTCTGGGAATGGGGGGGGATCGATCGGGAGGGCCTGGTTAGTGCGCTAAGCGGCAGTTAAATTCCCTCTTGTCAGATGTAGGCGCCCCTTATTTATTTATTTATTTATTTGTGTTTGTTTTAACAGACGGGAACCCTCCTCCAGCCATGGAGTACTTTTCTAAGGAATAACACTCCCCCCCCTTCGCGTGGGGCGGCGCTGACCCAGGGTCCCTTTACTCATTCGCCCCCCGCCCCCCGGGTTGGCCCTCCAGGGAGGGGGGGGCCTTTGAGGAGATGGAGAGACCCGCCGGGTGCTCCGAGGAAGAAGGGGAGCCGTCGCTGCTCACCGTCAGGCACGAGCTGAAGAACGGTGAGTCTGTCCGTCTCTAAGAGCTAAAGATGTGGGGAGGCTGCGGGGGGGGGGGAGGGAGAGGGCAGATGCGAAGGGGCGGGAAGCGCCGGAGGAGTCCCCCGAGAAAAGGGACACCCCGAAAGGGAAGGATGGTCAGCGTAGAAAAGTGCGGACGGCACGGAACGCGGCGGCGAGGGAGAAACAAAGGCTAGAAAGAGAGAAGCGCCTCGGGAGTAAAGGGAGCGGGATGTTGTGGGGCAGCCGGCCAGGAGGGCGGTGTTCGGGCTGGCAGCCTAGGGAAGGGGCGGCAACTGGGCCCAGAGGACTCGGCGGAGAACGAACGGAGCAAGAAGGTTAGGGAAAGACTAAGTCAGCAGAGAAATGCACGACTTTATAACTCTTTCAATATTGTACTTAACGTGAAGGCTTTAATACCCGGATGGCATCGTGTGAAACCAGCCCACCAAATGGATGTAACTACTAAAGGGACTGATGAAAAAAGAGGAAAAAAAACTTAAACGGGCTCTCCGTTCTATTACTATTTACATTCTGAACAAAAGTTATTTAGAAAACTGCTAAGAACATCCGTTTTTCCAGCCAAGGAAACCACCAGATTCTCCACTTGCACATGTCTGGAGGGGGCTGATGCACTAAAAACATAAAACTTATGCAAGAACCAATAATGCTTCTGCATTTTGGGCAGAGTTCATGCTTTAATAAATTCCTGGCTAATGTCAGTTGCATAATTTCTGGAGACTGATACAGTAAGATACAAAAGTGCTACATGTACTGTTTTACCCAGCTAATTTACCCAGTCTTGGACTTCAAGAGAGCTAATTTCAATAAACTTAGAGAGGGCTTGGGAAGGATTCCATGGAGGAGAATCCTCCAGGGGAAAACAACACAAGAAGCTTGGGAAATTTTGAAAAGTGAGATAATAAAAGCCCAGTCTAGCACAATACCAACAAAGAGGAAAAATAACAGCTCTCAAAAGAAACCAGAATGGCTGCATAAAGAACTCTCTGACAAATTGAAAGATAAAAAGGGCAAGTATAGAAAGTGGAAAGAGGGGCACATAACTAAGTCAGAATATCAGCAAATAGCCCGAGCCTGCAAAGATGAAGTGAGGAAAGCCAAGGCTCAAAATGAACTAAGGCTTGCGACCAAAGTCAAAAATAACAAAAAAAGCTTCTTTCAACAT